GATTATTACCCCCGGAAAGTGATCCGTCAATCGACCGGGTTCCTACTGACTGCTAGACACAGAAGCATGTGTGTGGAGTAAGGAAACTTGCCTAGGGTTTCAGCCTGCCCGGGAATCGAACCCAGGTCCTCTCACTTGGAAGACGAGCACAGGGACTCCACACTCGCCATTAATCCCTAAAAGCTGGAAAAGATCCAGGAGTGGTTTTGAAGTTTGCAGTGATTCCAGTCCCACGCTGCCCAGTGATATAACCCAGCCAGCACCTTTCCTGTTGATGTCGCAGAGAATACTTAATTGTACAGTAATTAGCATTTGGATAAAAATAACCCTCGTTTCTGATCCGGTGCCCATAAACCCATAGCGCAAGCCTGTGCCTCACAGGGGATTGCTGTCAAGTGCAGTGACTGTGAGTTTGTTACCTGCACCATTAGAAACAAGCCAAGAATTGAGTCTCTGATCGGGAGTTACTATCGAAACACACAAGTGACCCACACCGGACAAATGGAGAAATGGAGCTAAAAACTTTTAATAATAACCCTCACATTTGATACAGTGCCTTACCACGTCATTGAAACGTCTCAATGTGCTTACATGATAGTACTGTAAAGTGGAGTGACTGTGTATTTTGTGGGCGAAACACGGTAGCCAATTTTGTGTGTGTTTCCTGTAAACTGTCTTTTGCCCGAGCCCCTAGTATGCAAACTCAATAATAACAATCATAATAATAATAATCTTTGTATTTAATAGAATATCTCAAAGCACTTCACAGGATTTACTGTGAAACATAGTGACTGCGCATTTTGTAGGCGCCCTCTCTCTATATAGATATACACACTCAATTAACTTTACAGTATTTTCTGTGAAGCGCTTTGAGACGACTCAACAACGAGATAAGGCGCGATATCAAATGCAAGGATTGTTATTATTATTATTATTATTATTATTATATTATACGCACACATATATATAGCTTTACTTTTGATGATGTGGCTGAGGATGTTCAGATATACCTGCCTGTTTGCCTGCCTGTCTCTCTGCCTGACGTTACCTCGGCATTTATTTCCTTATTTAGATATTTCCAAAAATTCCCCGGCTACAGCAGCGAATCCTATCTATATATTTCTGTAACTGGAATCATTCCCCCCCCCCCCCCACCCACCCCCACCCCACCCCACGCACATGCACACGGCTCGTTGGGTTTAATTGTGCTCTCTGAGCGACCGCTCGCTGCCTTTCTGACTGAAGAGGAGTTAATTCTGTGCTGTCTGCAGTCACCCCACACAGAGAGCTGCGTGCGAGCATGATGTCAGCGCTCCCACACAAACCAATTTAACTTCTCCACCTCTACATCGTTCTCACAGCGTCATCTCAACGCTGTGAGAGATCTCTGCGGAACCCAGCTAAACATCGCTGCTATATTCTGCCCTTACCTCACCCCCACCCCCATAAAAGTGGATCTCAGGTTCACCCCACAATCCCTTGAACAATGATGACATTCATTTCAAAGCATCGGGATTCGTTTTCTGTGTAGAAAGGAAAGAAAACTGTTTTTTTATTTATATTTAGATATTAAAAAAATTATATTTTTCTCCCACCCACACCCCCACCCACCGTCCCCACCACCACAACCACCACCACCCCCGAGTGTTCTATAAATGCTGAATGTTTAAATGAGGTCTGATTTCGCCCAGAAAATACACAGATGTCAAACAACCAACAAGTGACTAACCTTCGGTGGTGGGGGATGGGGGTGGGGGGGAAGCGGGATCTCCTCGGAGCTGAACTGGTTTCAAGGTTTGGCCACAGAATGTCAGAATCGAGCCCCCCCCCATGTGCCGGTCTCTAGTCCGGCTCCTGAGCCGGGAGGGGCCGCAGTATTCCAGGGCACTCACTGCTGATGGCAGCCCAGCCCGGCCCGGCTCATCGGCAGGACCTGGAAGGGCCGACCAGTTCTTGGGGGCAGAGAATCCTCCCCCTCAGCTCCTGTTAACCCCACAGCCAAAGCCCTAAAGAATAGAGTGGTCCTAGCTGGACAAGCAGTGGGAACGCTTGGCCAGACAGCGATATCAATGGCAAGCCATGTGGTTTTTGCCATTGACTGCAGCAGTCTGCCTGCTCTCGGGGGCTGATGGGAGCTGTCACCGCCCCCCAACCACCACCACCACAATGTGAACTGGGCAGATCCCACCAGCCTCTTAGACAGTCTCCTGGCACCAATTGCTTAATCTAAATGGAGCCCGAGTCATTCCGTGATAAAGGAGGCCATTCATCCAAAGGAAGCTCAATGATCTGCTGCTTCACTACTTCAAGGGGTCACGACTTGCCTTTGATATGTCTTGTGTTCTGTATCATCCTTCACGCCCATTGAAAATAATCCCCTGAATAACTGTTCTGTTCTGTTTTTCCTGGGTGCCACTGATTACCATAAAGAACCAAGTCCTTGTGTGTAGATATCCCCAGATATAGATAGAGAGACGCTGAGCATGAGCATGAATAGGGTCATCTGATGGCTGACACTGCAGCCCTGGGGAAGCAATGCCTGGTAATCAAGCTGTCTGCGGTGAGATCAAATGGTTTAATCTTCATGGTTTCATCAGAAGTGTAAAGTTTGTCCTCACAGGGGAGGGTGAGGGAGGGCGGGGAGTGGTGTTGGGTAGAGTATTAACGCCAGCACGGACTAGTTGGCCTCCTTCCATGCAGTGACAATCCATGTGGGACGTTGTTTCACCCTCCGTTTCACCCCCCGTCCTTCAGCTCCTTCAAGGTCCATCTCAGGACCATCCTCTATGAATGCACCTTTGGTCACCCCACCCTTCCTACCCTCCACCTACCCCTCCTGATCCCAACTCTAAATTGTTGTGCTCATTCTGTGCAATGTCAACAACAACAAGATTCCATTTATAAAGCGCCTTTCACGTCAGGAGGACGTCCCAAGGCGCTGCACAGTTGGGTCATGACCCGATGTCCCAATAATTACATTGCTGTGTCCAAGTTGGCTGAAGCTTTCCCATGCATCGAAACAGTCACTACAAATGAGGGCAATGCCCTGTGAAGCGCTTGACGTTTGATGTGCTGAGGTGATGTCAAAAGACAAAGAGAAAGAAGTCAGCGGAGAAGGATGAGTAAAGTTTGGAAGGAAGTCATCGCGGTTTATAACCCAGGGATGAACTGAGACAAAAACATATTGCAAACACTTGCGACAATTGCTATTTAATCGTGTTTTATGGGCCCAGAAGCAAATCATTATTTCGCAAAGGTCAGCTTACTTACTTTGTGGGAAATAAAATCTGTGCAAACATCATTTATTTCTAATTAGATTGTTTTGGTTGTTTTTGCCCAGAAAACAGCCCTGTGAGTCACATCCCCATAGCGCCCTCTGGTGTGAGGGTTAGTCAGTCCGGGTGTGACTCACTGGGGGAATCCTACACAGTCAGTGAGTGGCATTGACCATCGTAGATAAGGCTGTGATGCAGCGTCTCTGAGCATCCAAACGTCTGAAAGCGCTTCACGGGGAATTGGCTGCCAAATGCAGTGACTGTGTACTTCCCAGGCCAACGCGGCGACCAATTTATCTGGAGGATTGTTGGGCCCGTTCTCTTGTTGAATGGCGTTGTGGGCGCTTCAAAGCCCATCAATAGGAACAGGCACAGACAGAAAGTTGTATTGTAGCACCTCTACCACTGTCCTGCCCCACATTGGCTAACTCTATTTCTGCTGAATACAATAGCTTTGTTGCTTTGAAAAGGAACAGATTAACTGGCCTGTAAGACTTCCAGTGTAGGAGAGAATTGAATTAATAAGCGTAATTGAAATGACTCGTAGTGAAATTGTGAGTGGAGCTGAAATACCTCCCCCAGATGGCTCATTAATAACTGTCTCCGCTAATGTTACATCTGCTTGTTTATGACGCTTGCCTTGGTGATTCCTTACAAAACAACAATTTACATTGACGCAGCATCCATCATGTGGTAATGGCTGGGAGCTCCGTACAGTGGTGGGGTTGGACGCCGAGCAAAAGAGAAGAGGGATGGGGAGTAGGGAAGGGAAGAACCTTGAAGCTGGTTTCTGACAATGTGATTAGCTGATGGTGGATTAACATATACCAAATGCAAGGATTTTGTAAGGAATCACCATCGGAGGTCGTGCTTCCAGCCACTGCACCTCAAAACTCTAGAACACTCTCCCTCAACCCCTCCGCCTTGTCCCCTTCTCTCCCCTCTTTCAAGTCCCGCCTAAAGACTTTCCTGTTTGATCGTGTGTACGGACACCTCCTGCTTCCCCCCCCCACCCGGCTCGGACCCAGCTCTGCCAATAGTTAAGCGCTCTGAGCGGCTACCCTGCGGGGAGGACGCTAGATAAGTGCAAGTTATTGTTGTTGTATTAATTATGTTTTGCAAAGCACTTCGAGAACTTATTTATTTTTATGTGAAATGCTCCACGTGAACACAACAGCAACAACAACAACAAGATTGCACTGACAGAGCGTCTGTCACGTCGGGAGGACGTCCCAAGGCGCTGGACAGTTGGGATGGGACTCGAGCCTTTGGGGGGAAATGGTCAGCGTGAGGGGAGGGAAGGGAGGGAGCGAGGAGGAGGGGGTAGGGAGTCGGATCTCAAATCATTACTGACTACAATCCCGCGTTCTAACGAGCTCTGTGGGGTATAATTGGGGAGAAAGTCATTAGGACCATTGAAGGTTATGTCAATGGCAAGAGGCTAAGGCCGCATTGCACCCTGGGGGTTATAGTCCATCCAGCTCAGGGCAGGAGGAAGAACTACATTACCCAAAGGGCCGACTGGTGCGCATGCGCAGTGCTGGGCGGCGTAAGTCCATCGCGCTTCAGCGTGAAGCACTACATTACCCAGAAGGCCGACGTGCGGTAGTAGTGAGCATGCGCGGTGTTGAGGGTGGGCGCTGTAGGCTGAAGTGGCGGAGGGCGGGGTGAGCGAACTACAGTGCCCAGAATGCATGGAGGCGAGCATGCGCGCTGATGGTCGGGTGGGGTGGGGGCATGCGCAGTAGCAGCTCGCCCTTGCCCGAGCCGCTGAGAGGAATCGCGCGCGTCCAGAGGCCTCGACACTCACCAACCGCCACCAACCGTCTTCCCCCCTCCGCTCCCGGCGACAGTGATGGCCGCTCGCCTCCTCTCCTCGCTCCGCTGCAGGGCTCTGCTGCCCTCGCTCCGGGCCGCTGCCGTCAGGGGCTACGCCGAGGCGGCGCCGGCCTCCGCCCCCGCCGGCCAGATGGCCTTCACCTTCGCTTCGCCCTCAAAGGTGAGGCCGAGGCCTGGGCCTGGCGCTGAGGAGGAGGAGGAGGAGGAGAGCGGCCACTAATATTGATGATGATGATGATGATAATAATAATCCTTACATTTGGCTCAGCGCCTGATCACGTCTTTGAGGCGTCTCAAAGCGCTTCAGAGGATTTACTGTGAAGTGTAGTGACTGTGTTTTGTGTGGTTGGTTGGGGTTGGGGGGGGTGTGGAATTGCGCGCAGCATCGTCCCACACGCAGTTATTATTATCGTTATTAATTAACAATAATGGTATTGATCCCACGCCTGTAATCCCCCGAACCATCCCAGCGCCTCCTCGCAGGATCTCACTAAAGCGTAGTGACTGTGTGCTTTGTCGGCTAACGGAGCAGGTTTCCTTTTTTTTTTAAACTGACGGAGACGCGCTCGTCCCGAGCTTTACAGTATGTTACTGCGAAGCGGCTTCGAGGTGTTTCAGCGCCGTTGGTTGCAGCTCAGCTTTTTTGCCAATCAATAATGGTAGAGTGATAACGTAGTAATCCCCGCGTTTGAGGCAGCGCCGTCTCGCGTCTCCGAGACCTCTCAAAGCGCACCACACAGTACATGCTGTCAAGTATTCTGTGGGCGAAACGCGGCGGCCAGTTGCGCACAGCAGCGTCCCCACGAACCGTCGTGGATTGAAGTGACCAAATTTTTTTTTGTGCCCGCCATGGGATGTAGCAACCTGGCACCAATTAGTCAGTCTCCCGGTAACGTGCGGCTGGGTGAGCTTTTTTCCATTGCTTGTTAGTTGATTTGTTTGACGTTGTTCCTCTCAGGTCTTCTACAAAGAAGCCAATGTGAAGCAAGTTGACATTCCAACGTTGACGGGAAACTTCGGCATTCTTTCCTCTCACGTACCTACGCTGCAGGTGCTGAAACCCGGCGTCGTGACCGTCTTCGACGAAGAAGGTGCAGCAACCAAGTACTTTGGTATGTTTCTGTTTTTTTGCGAATAAATATCATTCCAAAATGTTTTTCTCAGCTTTTATCCCACGTGTGTCAGCCTAGCACAGTGGTAGCGCTCTCCCCCTGAATCAGAAGGTTGGGGTTCAAGCCCCACGTTGGGACATAGTCTAAGATGACACTCCAATGCAGCCCTGGGGGCGAGTTGCATTTTCTGAGGCGCCGTCTTTCGGATGATGCGTTAAACCGAGGTCACATCTGTCTGTTCAGGTGGACATTAAAGATGCCACTGCGCTTTTCAAAAAGAGAGGGAGTTTCTCTCTCCAAGGGACCTGGCCAACAATCCCCCAAATAAAATTGGTGACTCACTCCATAGCTGATTGTTGGACATTGCTGTACACAACTGGATACTACGATTCACCCACAAAATACACAGTAACTCCACTGGAGTCCTGCCGCTTAGTGGTTAGAGCACTTGCATCGCGAGCGAGAGGACCTGGGTACATTTAATTTCTCTTCTTTATAATTGCAAACCTGATTTATTTCTGGTTATTGGCTATTACCCAAACAGTGAAGCCATCTATTTCCAGGAACAGAAATTAGGAGCTTAATATTGCAATGGCTTTTATTTTTCTGAATTAGTACAAGTAAATGTTACCCTGAAAGATTTGGATGTTTGTCCTGAAAACACATTTTCTTTTAGCATGACATCTAGTGATAGAAAAGTAGAAATGCAAAACAGAGATAATAATCGTAATCCTGTAGTACCTTATCACGTCTTTGACACGTCTCAAAGCGCTTCATAGAATATACTATAAAATGAATTGATTGTATATTTTGTGGGCAAAATGGGACAGTTGTGATCTTTTGACCTCCAGCATCAATATTTTACCATGTTTTGGTTCCATTTTTTTAAAATCCTGGTTCTCAAGGCTGATATTTGCAATGTTCCTGTTACATTTGGCACCCAAATGAATCTATATTTCAAATACATTGCAAAAAAAAGCATTGCATCTAGTTGAGGTTGCAAATTGCTCTACAAAGAAGTGGTGGCGAGATGCTAAGAGTTGAAGGTTTTACACCGCAGGTTTCCATTATAACGCAGTATTTTATGGTCCATTAAATCCCAATTGCAAATCAGCCTGCTTCCTGTGCTTATTTTGCCACTTTTTGGTACGTAAATTTGGGATCCGTACCCCAATTGTGCTATAAGTGAACACGCATTATGATGAGATTCTACCGTATTTAGCTGAAATCCCAAATAATAGGTATTTTTATTATATTGATGTTTGTGTCCAGTCAGCAGCGGTTCTGTATCCGTGAATGCAGACAACTCGGTTCAGTTGTTGGCTGAAGAGGCAGTGCCATTGGATTATCTAGATATAAATGTAAGTATGTGCTTGTGGCAACGCTTACAAACCATTGTTGTGCTTTTGATTTAGATGTATGTCTGGGCTGGTCCATTATTACATTGGTATAGCAGCTAGTTTATATTCTTGGCATTGTATGCCTTGATTGCATGACAAAAAGATTCCATTTACAGAGTGTCAGTGATTGTCAGATAGGCCTGCCTTGCTGAGCCTGAAGTAGTGATGCTGATGCTCTTATGTGAATGTTATGCTGCTTTGCAGACACCGGGTGTATTACGAACACGAACAAAACTGATTCCGCACGCAAAATTAATAAAGGATCCTCATAAACAAGATACTGATGTGATTTCCTGACTTTAAATGTTAGCAATTCACTGTAATAAATTGCTTGAACTTTCCATTATTTATGATGTCATCTGAACTCCCTTCAATTGGATGTCGGTTTTGTAATTGCTTCTGAGTTGTGTGTTGTTTGCTGCCTGTTGCCTTTTCCTGCAAGGTTCCTGAGCTGATTCAGTTTGAAATCATTACAATACTCATTGGATTGAATTTATTCAGAAATCGAAGCAATAGTAATAATAAGTTTGATATAGAGCCTTATCACATCTCCGTGATGTCTCAGAGTGCTTCACAAAACATACTGTAAAGAGAATTGACTCTATATTTTGTGAGCAAAACGCGGCAGCGTCCCACAAACAGTCATCAATTGAGTGACCAAATTATTATTATTTATTATATTAACATTTAACTTCTCAGTTCTGTACAAGAGAGCTCACGTAATGCAACATATATGCCTGTGTTTGTCAAAGAGATTGGTTACGCTAGCCCTTTGTAAAGTGAGTAAGTTGCTAAACACACTAACTACCTAACAGCTGCCCTTTTAAGGATTGCTGTTCTGGCAAACCCACGCCCTACACAAGTCAAGGAGGTGACATTTGATAACCTTGAATAATCTAACCATAAATGTTGCTGCCTGCTATCTGTAACCTTTAATTGGAATTCAGCCTTGTAACTCGGTGTGCAATCTTGCATTCTGTAAGACTAGTGAATAAAAATCAAATTTGCTTTTAGAACAAACCTAAAAACAAATGAAAGCTTCAGATATTTTCTTATTTAAGCATCTGCTGTTGATGTAATGTTTGGTTTACAGGCAAAAAATGTGTAAGTGAAGTGTGGTTGCCTCTTCGTTTACTCACCAAGTGATCTATCGGGTGATTTGGATCAGGATTATTTTTATTGAGAAATTGCACAGTCTTATTTTCTGTGTTGATTATTGTAATGATTTTCACCTTCCAATTAACTGAAAATGAAGCTTGACATTATCTGTGCCACGAAGGCAATAAAAATCTGAATACAATTGATGTTTATGAATCTGCTGTTATCTTAAAAGTTACATTTTGGCTGACAAAGAGTTGGGGCATTTTACTTGGCCTATAACATGAGTGTGTTGTTCCTAACCTGATGTTATAGGTATGCGAATATCTCATTGAATTACAATTCATTTCAAGAAGGAATCTGTGGTTCTACTTGCATTGAATGTGTGATATGTGCACTGAATAAGTATGGTGTATTGCACTGAATAATGTGTGTACAGAATTGTAAAGGTATGGACGTTAGCAAGGTTGCAGCTACTTATCTAATAACTTTTGCAGATATAATAATAATCCTTGCATTTGATATAGCTCTTTTCACGTCTGCTAGATTTCTCAAAGAGTTTCACAGAATATACTGTAAAGTGAATTGACTGTATATTTGGATATAGGAGGAACGGACTGGAAAGGGGTATTTAGATCTTAGGTCAGGTTACATGGACGTCAACTCCACAAGCTGAGTGAATGTCGTATTGTTTTACGCACTTGCATCTGTTCATAAAACGCAAATTCTTTGATGCAATACTCTTTAAAATAATTGTAGTCAAGGAAAACTGATGGTGATACGTCACTGCTTTGTGATCGTACTGAGGAAGATGTCTGAGTAGGATTTGACGAGGTGTGTTTGAACTAATGTTTCAGTGTTAATCAATAATGTTTGATTTGCTGTATGTGCTGCATGCAGTGTTGTGTTAGGACATAGGTTCATAGGCTCAGCTCTGCTGTTGAGAGGACAAACTGTTTAAATGCCAGGCACGTCCCCACAGGGAGGGAAATTTGAAGTAATTAGGATTAGTCTCCATCATCTGGTGTCTGTGTTAAACACAGCCTTGCTGAAGGCCTGAAGCTGGTCCCTCAGTTACTGACTGGTGCCAGACATGTTAGGAACCAAGAAAGCGGCATAAGAACATAAGAATTCGCTTGGCAAAAGAAGACGAAGGTCCATCTAGTTCACCTTCCACCATTCTGGCTTGTCGTGTTGTGTCCCAAACTATACACTGTATCCTGAGATAAATGATAATAATAATAATAATCCTTGCATTTGATATGTTATGTACACAACAATCATTTGAGAAGGAATTTGTTTATAGAAGAATGTGACCAATGTTATACTATGGGATGTCCTCCCAAAGTGAAAGGAGCTATATACATGCAATTTGTTGTTGTTGTTACAACATCAAAGTAACCTTGGTCCTTAGTTCGGAGATGGCATAGATTGTGAGAGAGGGGAGAAACATATGACGTGATGTATAATCTGGCATGAGTACTTTCCAACTGGATTGATTGAGAATTCTTACATAAAACCGCAGCTGTTATTACATCATGTCAATGGGACTGCATAGTTCCTTAGGGGTCAGATTTCTCAGAAATAACCATTGCTAAAATTAGCTCCCCGCTTCATTTTTATTTTTGCTACTTAATGCGAAATGTTTGTAATGTTTCTTAAAATTTAATTCTCGAGGTCTTCTCTGGGGTTCCCCCGTTGAGATGATGCCGATTGATAAAAATGACTAAAATCCTTCGATTGTTGAGTCGGTGCTGAAAACAGCTCCTGTAGCTCAGTCAGACAGTGGGTTAGAGAGCAATTGTAAAGGTCAGATTACTGACGTTGCCCAGAATTATGTTCAAGCTGTTTGAAACTGGCTCAAATAGGTTGTCAGAGTCCAAATCCTTGAGCAGTTTTTAGATCATGCGTATCACTAATAATCCTTACATTTGCCCGTGATTGCATCAGCAAATGTAGCAAATTTCTCTTCCTATTTTCAGGTCTCTGCTGAAGACCTTCCTCTTCGACCGCGCCTTTAGTTCACCTTCCTCCCCCTCCCCCTGGCTCGGCGCCGGGATCCGTTACTGTAAAGCGCTCTGAGATGCCGTCCGGCGTGGAGGGCGCTATATAAATCCAAGTTGTTGTTGTTGCACGTGATTGTTGGGCACCATTGTTTTCGATGGCTTTGCGATGCCTAACTAACCGTGGCTCTCTGATAAAAGGGGCTTGAAAATGTTTTGCTGCAAACCGTATGAACTTAGCTGCAAAATTAACATGGAACCCGTTACAATGAATATTTTGAACGTCTTTCCACAGGCAGCGAAGGCGAACTTGGCGAGTGCACAGGCAGAGCTGTCATCTGCAGCTGATGAGGTGGCTCGGGCAGAGGCCTTAATCAGTATAGAAGCTACTGAAGCAATCATCAAGGCACTGGAGTAGCTGGATTATTGGGTAAGAGCTTATTTGTAAGTCTGCATTTTTTTTCAATCACGCAGTTTAAAGGAGAGAAGCTCTTTAAAATCAACTTAATTGTGCAGCGCCAGATGGATTTTTGAATTGGTCGCAGTGAAAAAGATTACTTATTGTGCTTGCTGTAATGGTTAGAACGCTTGGGGTAACTTAGGTAACATTAGAAGTTAACTTCCAATTCCTGAGTATCAAAAATTATTACATAGGTTTTTAAGACGTTTTCTCTCTACATCCTGATGCTTCCACTTTAAACACATAATCTCCTATATTGCACTGTGATTTAAGATGTTCTTGTTTTATTCTTGATTGTAATCAGCTATTGTGTCAAGGTTGAGGTTTACAGAGAAGGGAGTTTCTCTCTGTGCCCTTGCCAGCAATCCTCCAGATAAATTCATCTCACGTTGCTCTGTGGGGTCTTGCAGTGTGCAAACCCAGCTGCTAGCTGCATTTGCCTACGAAAGCAGTCTCCGCACTCATCCGTAATTACCTGTGAAGCTCTCGGACATGTTATGCTGCTGCCAGTTAATTTTAGGTTAGAATAAATCCTTAACTTCCTGATGCACTGATTCTCGGTTTATATTCATTCAAGGAACAATTGTATATGGAGTCCTGTAGCTCAGTGGTTAGTGGTTAAGAGCGCAAGTGAGAGGGCCTGGGATTGATTCCCGGGCAGGGCAAAAAGTTGGGCAAGTTTTCTTACCCCACACACGCACCTCTCTTTACCTAGCAGTAAGTAGGAACCCGGTTGTTAGTTGATCAGAGGATCGCTTTTCCGGAGGACACTGCTGTGCGCAATTGGCTGCCATGTTTCACCCACAAAATATACGGTCAATTCACTTTACAGTATATTCTGTGAAACACTTTAAGAATTCTCGACGGCGTGATAAAGCGCTATATCAAATGCAAGGATTGTTATTATGAAAAGGCAGAAAGTTGCTGTGTTGCATATTTTGCACAATAGGGGCCACGAGGGAGTCATTTTTAAACGTGAGCTTCTGCTACTTGCCTCCTGGCACTGGAAGTGGAGCATTTCAACCTATTGCATGGCTTAACGGTTTTGAATCGTATCTACCAACCGCTCTATTGGGAGTTGAATGTTCCTTTGAATAGAAGTTTTAGCATTCTACTGCACCCCCAAGGTTTTAAGCAACGTGAATTTAAAATTCATACGGTTAGGAATGAAAATCCCCTGTAGCCTGAAACAGTCCCTGAATGATTTCAGACGGTGTGAAGTTTTGCTTGGTTGTACCGATGCATAAGATTTTGATTGAGGCTTGTGAAGAAGTTGAAATGGTTACAGATGTATTTATTAAAAGCTGCTGTCACTCTTTAGAGTCAGCCAAAATAATATTAATAATCCTTGCATTTGATACAGCGGTTTATCACGTCTTTGAGACGTCTCAAAGCGCTTCACAGTCGTGGATTGAGTGACCAAATTATTTTTTTACCCCCGGAAAAGCGATCCGCCAATTGGCTAACAACCGGGTTCCTACTTTCTGATAGGTAAATGGAGGTGAAGAATCGAACCTAGGTCCTCTCGCTTGCGAGGCGAGCGCTCTAACCACTACGCTCCAGGACTCAACTGTGGTGATTTATGGCCACTGGGTGGCACGCTCTGAACACTGCACGGATTTACAGCAGTGCAGTATTTCAGCAATATCCTACTTCCTCATGAAAGTACATTTTGCTCTGCTTGAAGGTCAGAACCAAGGATGTCCTGAAAATTATCTAATGATTTGCCAAGTTCGATATCTTTGTTCAGCTATCCGTGGGGGTGGGTGGGGATGTATTTCCTTCTATTGTGGCAGGCAATCGGCCGTTCACATTATATCATATACATTTTTTGAGGATAAAGAGCTTCCCTTTTTACTTGCGGATGCAGTGGGTAGCATGCTCTAGGGCTCTGTCGATGCTACTTTGAGCTGTTTGCTAGCAGGTGTGAGTATTCCTGTGACATTTCATTCTTCCATGGCTTTGGCTCAGTGTCTTGTCACAGCGGTGTCTCTGTTCAACAAAGAAGGAAAGCAAATTGCAATACGTTTTTCATATTTTTATCCGGCTAAAGTTTTAAATCGGATTCGCTGACGTTCATTCTTCCCGAGAGCTTGTTTTTTGTATGTGAAATAACTGGCTTAGTTAAATAGTGCAATATCTGGATCCTATATTTGATTACCATGCCATCGATTAAATCACATCACGACACCCCTGACTTTAACCTCCACTTTATGGTTGTGCAGTTGGCTGCGTATGAGAGCCGTCAAGAAAGGGGAAAACATCTTCGAGCAGCAAGAGTGACCGATTGCAGATTCATTTGATTATAGATCGCAGATTACTTTAGGGTGACCCGAACCAAAAAAGGTTCACTACGTTTTCCAGCAAAAAAAATCAGTGATTGTCGACCCTAATAAGTGACATTTAGCAATCGTGAGTCTGGGCGACTGCCTGATATGGGCTCCTTGTTTTGTCTATTAGTGACTCAGTCTCAGAATGTCGGGTGCTTTTAGAGTTCTGCATTTGCAGAATTAATAATTATAACCATCCTTGCATTCGATAAAGTGCTTTACTATGTCGTTGAGACGTCTCAAAAACGCTTCACAGAATATATTGTAAAGTGAAGGGACTGTATATTTTGTGCGACACCCAATTGCCCACAAACAGTCTTGGATTGGGTGATTATGATGCTTTTTTTTTTGGAGGAATTATTACCATCGGAACGCAATCCGCCAATCAACTAACAACCGGGTTACTAATTAATTATTAACACGTCCAAGTAGCAAAAGCTTTAAATGTGTGTTAATATAAATACTCAGAAATCCAATCAAACTTGTATAGACAGTACATTGCCTGATATTTAAAATGTTTATGGACTGAGGGCATATTATCAAACTCTGGCCTATTTTTCTAGCGATGAGCAACAGCTAGTTATTAACTTCAAATGCTGAGTCCCCAGGCATATCATTTTTGTTTTAATGCTTGCGAGTTTTCTGACCTTTTTTTTAAACCTGTTACAGTTTTGTGCATTTTTGTAAAGAGCAAAATCGTCGGATAATTCATTTCTTAAAGGGGAACAGTCCTCCGGAGAGTGGAGGGGAGTGCTGAGTGCCATTTTGAGTGGAAACTGCATCCTCGTGTCTCATGATTATAAAAGATCTGCTCAGGAGAGACGGTGTCTGTCTGTCTCCAGCCATTCCTCTCGAGCGGTTATTTGCATCCTCTAGCTCTGGGCGCCAATACCCTCCTAGGAGCTGACTATGAAGTTCAGTGCTAGGTGGGACAGTTGTGTATTTAGTCTAGTAATAATGATCCTTAATCCTTGCATTGGATATAAAAAATCCTTGCATTTGACATAGCCCTTTATTACATCTTCAAGCCGTCTCAAAGAGTTTCACAGAATATACTGTAAAGTTTAGTGACTATATTTTGTGGGTGAAACGCAGCAGCCAATTTTTCAGCAGTTTCTCACAAACAGTTGTGAATTGAGTGACCAAATTATTATTATTATTTTCGGAAGGATTATTACCCCCAGAAAAAGTGCTTTGCCAATCGACTAACAACCGGGTTCCTACTTACTGCTGGGTAAACAGAGGGATGTGGAGTAAGGAAACTTGCCCAAGGTTTCGCCCTGCGGGGAATCGAACCGAGGGCCTCTTTATTGGTCTGGAGCTGCTTAATCCATCTTCATGCTCAGTGGCTGAGGTTCCAAAGTGCGATCCACCCACAGATTTCCATGGAAATTGGAGGCTCATCAGACCATAAATATGTCTGCCAGAGGTGGGGAAGTTCCCAGTGGATAGACTTGGCTTTGAGCTAAACGCCATGGTTGGGTAGGGAGATAGGAGCTTCACTCTGCCTTTTGCTGTGAATCGACGACACCAACACCGATGAGCTCACTGCTTTTGCACAGTGCGATATCTAGCCTCACCTCCAGTACAGCAACACCCCTGTCCTCCCCAACAATGGAGCGCGGACGATATCTTGTTCCTAACCAGGTGTGCATTGCTCAGACATTTTTGTGTGACTTGTCTTTTTAACTCTTGTCGACTTTCTAGTTCTCAACGTTTCTTTTTTTTTTGCCCCCAGGACTCTCGCTCTCTCCGTGGGCAGGATGATGTCTATCTATCATGGTTATATTGCTGGACCTTGGTTTGGACAGAAGACCATACTGTACAGATATACAGATAATTGAGCCAAATAAACTTTCTATAACCATCACGTTTGCTTTATTTTATTTATTCTCCTGTTTTTATTTTTTTTCACAAAACTAACACTCTTTATCACCCATTCTGATAATGCTTTTATTTACCACTCTGTTCTGGTGTTTTAAGTATCACTAGGAATTTGCTGGAAGGCTGTGGTGTCCAGGTTACACTGATTGCTATAAATAGCTATGTCTCAAACAAGGTTGCTGTTTCCACACCCCACATCAATAATAATTTGGTCACTCAATCCGCACCTGTTTGTGGGACACTGCTGTGCGCAATTGGCTGCTCACAAAATATACAGTTACTACAACTTACGGTGTGTCCTGTGAGGCACTTTGAGACATCCCAGCGATGTAATCAGACACAATATCAAATGCAAGGTTTATTTATTATTAATAATCTTCTCCAAGTTTTACTTTATTTTAAATCAAGTGGGTTTTTTGCAACTCAGGAGTTTTGTTACTTGCGCACAAGACAGTAGTACAAAGAGATGTCACAGTCTAGAGGGTGCTTTTACATTAAAGCCTCTGTTCCGAGTGCTGAAGTGATTGTTACCTACGGAGTCCATGCATTAGAGATGGCTGGTTTGAAGGGCAAGGTATTTTGTGTTGCGTGAGATTGCTGGGAAGGTGCAGAGCACATGCTGTTGCTGTATTACATCAAATTAGCTTTGACAAGTGTGAACCCAGTGCAGCGAAGTGCTCTGTTTGCTATAGATCTGCTCGGGGAAACTTGCCTTGACAAGCAGTCTACTGTAAAGGCTTTTGATGCTTTGAAAATGTCAACTGAATTTTATGTTTAATCTAAAAATATTAAACGGGAAGGGGAGGGGGAGGATTGATACCGTGGTAAACTAGCAATGCTGAATTCAGTAACGCAATGAGCAAACCATTTTTCAAGGGCGGTTGAAAAAGTCGTGGACCAGAGGACATAAATCTAAATTAGTCACATGAAGAGCCGAAGGAGAGCTTAGGAGACATTTATTTCACAGACACACACACACAGTTATTGGAATGTGGAATGCGGAATGCCCTGCCCTGAATCGACTGTGTATTTTGTGGGCAAAACGTGGCAGCCAATTGCGCACAGCAATGTCCCACAAACAGTCGTGTACCGAATGACCAAATTATTATTATTTTTTGAAGGGATTGTTGCCCACGGAAAAGCCTTCCGCCAATCGAGAAACAACAGTGTTCCTGCTTACTGCTGGGTAAACTGGTGTGGAGTAAGGTTTCGCCTCAGGTTTTGCCCCGACCAGGAATCAAACCATATCCTCTCGATTGTGAGGTGAGTGTGCTAACCCCTAATCTACAGGACTCCACAATCTACTTGTCCACCTGAAAAAACTTCAGCCGCGGACTACACACTGCTGTTTGTATGTAATATTGATGCATTATTATTTGGTCAGCTGGGTGTCTTGACACATGAGGAAACCCATTGCCGTGCTTGAGACTGTCCATACCAGACTGGATGGATCACATATGTGTGCCACCTACACACAGAAATGTTCCTGTGTCTGGAATGTCTTGCACATTCTCTCCCCGGAGGGACGCACCCTGCTTGCTTCATGCTGGTTGAGTATTAGGTGTAGCTCAGTGAGAGTCGTAATTTGGGGACTTTTTAAGAGTTTGCATTGGGGTAACTCTTGGGAGTCTAACCAGCTAATATTGTATGGCTTGCCCACTGAGAGAGCGCTGTCTGGCAAAGCTTCCCCGCTGCTTGTCCAGCTGGGACCACCCTGCTTGAGCCGAGAGGGAAGAATCGCAGCTGGAAGCAGGGACAATTCAGCTGCAGCCCCTTTACTCCATGCTCCCAAGCTGTGAAGCACCATGTTTCACCAGGACTGACTTCGCTGACAGTAACCGGCAGACCATTCCCTCTCCACGTGACCCTCAACAGCATAGCTCAATGTGCGTCTCTTTCTGGGGCGGAGAGAGAGTGGGGTGCGGGGGGGGAGGGGGAGCCTTTTTGCAACGATGATTTAATTCTCTGTAATTTCCGAAAATGTGTTGGTGAGGAGGAGGGTGGGGTGGGAAGGAGCACAGCTTTATGATAGCATTATTAATGTGCAACTTAAATGTCTTGTGAACAGTGGTAGTTTTCGGTGCCAGCTGTTTGTGGGGTGGATGGGTTCCAACTTGTCCCTCGATTGACATGACAGAACTTCAGAAAATAAAACCGAGCCGCTCGCAAGATGAGTGATTATCTGTGGATCATTACACCCCCAGTATTCCTGGTTTCAGCTTGGAACGGAAGGAATCCAAGAACATCCTTGTGACTCAGCAATGTTCACCACACCTTGCGGAAGCTGTGCGCCCGATTGTCTCACCTCCTTATTTGTGCAAATCGTAAAGCTATCCTGTCCGTTCTGCGNTTTTTTTTTAAAAATCTGTATGGTTTCGATGAAATCTGGATTAGTGGAAGCGCTCTGAGACTTCTGCATCAAAGGCAAAGTTTATTATTGTGATTTATAATTCCTTTTTTTTCCCTTTTCACTCAAATCGCAAAATAAATGTTGTGGTTGATGCAGCGCCTTTCACATCCGGAGGAGGTCTCCAGTGTGTTGGAGGATGTACTGTAAAGGGTAGTGACTGTGTGTTTTGTAGGCAAACGTGGCAGAATGGAAAGCAGGGTGTATGTGGATTACCTTAAAGCATTGAGCGTTGTTTCACCCCAGATCAGACTACCTCCGCGCTTGGAAACACCCCCTCTCAAATCTGTCACGTGAATTTTTCCGAAATTGCCTTTCCTTTTAGGTTCGGATCTCCCGGCTTTGCTCCTAATATTAAGTATTTCTCTGGCTTCAGTTAAAACTTCAGATTAGTATTGATTTTCTTGGCAGCTCCTAACAGTGCAAGTATTATTGTGTAACTCACCACATTTTTACATCCAGAGAGAGAAAAAAAAATCCCTTTGTGTCTAATCCCATCAACCACACTTAAGTCCTTTCATATTTAATTTCATCATGGCTTCTCAGAGAAGTTTTAATTACAAGGGAATGCTGTGGAGTTTTGGGGGTATATTAATCAATCACAGCGAGGCTGCACCCCGTGGCTTGTTTGGGTGCTATATTTTACCATTTTAAATTGGCATTGTAAGAGAGAGATCCTGGGTTCGATTCCCGGCAGAACGAATCGTTCGGCAAGTTTCCTTCCTTGTTCCTACTCAACACACCTCTGCTTATCTAACAGTAAGTAGGAACCTGGGTGTTAGTCGATTGGAGGATTGCATTTCCGAGGGTAATAATCCCTTCAAAAAAGATAATAATAATTTGGTTCCTCAATTCACGACTGTTTGTGTGACGCTGCTGTGCACAATTGGCTGCCGCGTTTCGCCCACAAAACATACTGTCAATTCACCTTAGAGTATGTCCTGTGAAGCGCTTTGAGTCATCTCGGAGACGTGATAAAGCCCAGTATCAAATTCAAGGATTATTATTATATTATGATTCTAAAATTGACATCAAATCATTTGCATCACAGATACAGTGTCTGGGCATTTAGGAGAGCTATTATATTGTTCTGTGCCAATAGAGCGTATAGTATGTATGTGCTGCCCCAAACAGTGCGAGGACTGTTTCTCTTGCATTCCTTTCCATATTTAATTCTTAATCACTGAGCAGCTGGCCTCTGCCGTCTGCGATTGAATTTGGGGTCAGGGTACAACGTAGTGGCCTCGAGGCAGGGATCTTGAGGGGGTGGATGGTGGTGGTTGGGGGTGGGGGGGGCCGGAGTAATGTTGGTCAAAGAGGAGTGCAGGGAAGAAAACCCGGCAAAAAAATCCATGGTATTTCTGGAGCCAAGTAAGGTCAACCTCATTCATTAACTGTGTTTGATGAGAACTGAGTCCTTGCTTCTTAGTAGGAAACAATGGGTCAGTCAGTCAAGTCGTGGTCAAGCGATCGATCCTACATGTCCAGAGCCTCCTGAGCACAGGAACTCAGGACGCTGAACAGATGCAAACCCTCTTTACGTTTTCAGACTGACGGCTGCGGTTTGCTCATCCACTACGTTGCATGACATTACATGGCTTGTCCCACTCGGAGCTGTGGCAAATCTGTCATCATTACGTCCTGCAAATTAAATGCTTAATTTGGTTATTCGAGAAGCTGTAGGTGAGAAAGATAATCATTTAGCCTCTATCCCAGTGACTGACGTGCCAGTGGCTGGTTGGTTCTCCTCAATATACGATGTTCAGGGTAAATAGGTTGCGTGTCTTACAGTCAAGGAGGTTGATTGAAGTGATCTGATAGTGGTGTTTTGAAATAAACAAAGGGAATTATGGAGAGTAGCGAACAGCTCATTTCCTGTGGCAGAGGGCGTCCCAAACAACAGGGACATGACCTTAATAATCATAATAATAATCATAATCCTTGTATTTGATACAGCACCTTATCACGTCTTCGAGACATCTCAAAGCGCTCCACAGGACACACTGTACAGTGAATTAACTGTGTATATTGTGGGCGAAACCTTAGCGTTGGGGCTCAAAGCAGTTTTGCCTCTGGTGGGCGGGTGCATGGGTAAGATTTAAGATAGTCGTCAAAAGAACCAGAAGGGAGACGAGGAGTCTTTTTTTACCCAGAGAGTTGTTATGGTCTGGAACGCACGGCCTTAAAGGGTGGAGGAAGCAGATTTGATAGTGGGTTTCAAAAGGGAATTGGATAAGTACTTAAAAGGGAACAATGTGCAGGGCTATGGGGTAAGGTAAGAGCAGGGAGAGTGGGACTGGTTAGTAGCTCTTCCAAAGAGCCGGTATAGGCACGATGGGCCAAATGGCCTCCTTCAAGGCCGGTCTCAAGACCTTTCTCTTTGACCGTGCCTTCAGCTCCCCTCTCGACTCTCTACCCCCTCCTCGCTCCCTCCTCTCCCCCTGACCATTTCCCCCCAATGCTCGGGTCCTGACCCAACTGTACAGTGCCTTGGGACGTCCTCCCGACGTGAAAGGCGCTCTATAAATGGAATCTTGTTGTTGTTGTAAGATTCTATGATGCTCGAGGTGAGATAAAAG